GGCATTTTAATACCAAATTAATGTAAGGTATCATATAGTGTCAGTAACGCACATTAATAGAAGTTGTATCACCTAATAGAGCATGAAGAATAACAGTTACTAGTGAAGCTCCACGTAAAAGCTGGAATGTTAATACCTGTGACTGAACAGCAGGGACTACGGTGGGTTCCTATGGGAAAAAAAAAAAAAAACAAATATTCAAAACCTATCCCCCCAAAACTAGAACACGTTGTGCCCATCAGCACCAGCAGTAGCACCGACCCGCGCGCTTCCCCCTCCCAAGGCAAAGCCCCCCCCGCTGCCGCAGCCCCGCCCCCCCGCGCGCGCCCGCCGCGGCCCGCCCCGGCTCCGCCAGCAGGTGGCGCTGCAGCGGCGCCTCAGCCTCCGCGCGCGCCGGCCGCCCTGTTAGGGGCAGCGCGGGAAGGGCGGGAAGGGCGAAGGGGAAGGGAAGGGAAGAAAAAGGATGGGAAAGGAAGAGAAGGGCGAGCGCCTCCCGCCGCGCCGGGAGGGATGCAGGGTGTGCTCGCTGAGGCCACCCCGCTCGTTCCTAACTGCAGCCCCTGCGCCGGCTGCTCGGGGCCGCCGCGGCCCTGCGGGGCTTGCGGGAGGGTAGAGGCCGCCCCCTCAGGCTGTGCGCTCAGGGCTGAGGTGCGGGAAGGCCTGGAAATGTCTGTGGATCCCTGTCGCAAATGTCAGCGGGGGGCGGGGGGGAGTTGTTCCTCATAGCACAAACTTCATTGCTCATACAAATCTGCCAAAGGCAGTTTTCTTGCTCTCCATCTTTGAAACGCAAGAGTCTTGGAGGTTACGATGCAGAGATTGTGTGGAAGCAGCATCAGGCAGAACCTATCTTAGAACAAAACTGATCAGGACTAGTAATTCAGCCATGTTCTGTTTTTTCAAAAAAAAGTTATTTTCCACAAAAAGCTGTATAATACTTCAATATTACGTGTTAAGCATTAAGGATAACCAAGAGTTCAACAGAGATTTTGCTTAGATTTTGCCTTAGAGATTTTGCCTATATTTCCATTAATAAGATAAATTATAAATGTCTTAAGTTAAAACACTACATACCACTTTTTCAGAGGATTCATTACTTATTTAACCTGAAACTGCACGCTTATGTTTTCCATAACGATTATCAAATGCCATGTCAAGACTTTCTTAAACTAACCTGCCTGTAAAAGACTTAGTTCACAACATATGGTTATTTCTTCATCAAAAAATATGAGAATAATTGTTACCAAATGAAAACTGCAAGAAATTGATGATTGCCCTGAGTGTTTTACTAACTGTATTACCAGGTGTGAGCATAATCATTAATTGGAAATTTATCACTGGCCATGAAATACATAAGAACATTTGACTGTCTTCCCACGGTGACCATGAACATACTGAGAATGATGGTTTAATTAGTAATCCCAGAGATACCGGGCAATGCTCAAAAGCTGAAGAACTACCAGCATGGTTGCTGTGGAGAAGGAGGGACTTGAAACCTTTCAACCAGTCTATTCAGCCTTAGGTCATTGCTGTCAAAGATGATAGCTTGAAATTACCAGATTATTTTATATAGGCCTTTGACAACAACACTGCATCATATAGTGAAAGCTCTATTTTCTTTCTCTGTTTCAAATGCCTTACTTTGCTCTGATGCCTATGCAGACTTCAGTCAGAAAGTATTTCTCATTTACATGACCTAGATAGAATAATAGTGAGAAAGATGTTCCTTGATCTCTTTTTTCTGTTGATTTGCTACATGCAGCCTGGAAGAAAAACATAATCATGAGAATGCATTGTTTCTTTTATGTCAGTATTAGGAAGCAATGCAAGGTAGATTGGGGGATAGATCTAGGCAGAAGCCTTGCAATAAATGGACAGAAAAACACATGGAATAGCTCTAGGGATTACATAGTCTTGCTTATTTTTAAAAAAGGTTTCTTGTTTAGTGACTTTTCAAACTTGATTTTGCTACAGTGACCTATACCTGACAACTGTAAGACAGGAGATTTAACTCTAGCACAGCTACGTTTAGAACCATGTCAGTAATAAGGACAATACCTCAGTGCAACGGGTGGCTTCTTCCATGATTACTCATTTCAGAGTCATTACCTCAGCTGGCATACTGGACAACCTATATGAAAAAGTGCTATGAACTGACTTGAACTGTGATTACTGAAATAATCTGAACGCATCTTGGCTCCATTTGGCCTTAGCCATGGCTCAGTTGTATCCACTGCTGAGATCTGTGGTAGGTCACGGGCTCCTTTTCTGATCTAGACAAGGCTTCCCATGTTTCTGCCACATTCTCACATGACAGGGTATAAGAAATATATCTTTCTTGAAATAACAAAGCCAGAAGCAGAGGAAGTACCCAGGTACAATCTTCCATTGACTGTTGTGTTGAACGTATCTATGAGATCAGTTAAAGGAGCATTTGTCTGGGGATAGAATGAATCATGACAAACTATGGCTACGCACAGTGAACTGTGCAATGGGTAATGAAGCGGAATAAATCATCTGCTCAAGAAAGAGAGAAACAGAGTTACTGTTCATAACAACTTTAAATATTTCATTCCAAGAAGTAGTACAAAAAGTAGACAGTTGTCCAAAAGGTTATAGGATCCCCAAATACAGACAAACTGTGACTAGTAATAATAAAAATACAGGAGATTATCTAATAGTCAGGATCTTTCAGATAAATTATAGTTGTTGCCTGAACTAGCATCATGGTGGTGAGTAACATTAATAAATGAACATGCAAACGAACTTTGTGGTGAGGAACCTCAGTAACAGGACAAGAGAAAGTTTTTAAAACTCTCATTCTGAAAATGGAAGTACTGATTCCAAGATAAGAGTTTTGCACTTATTTTGTCATCCAAAGACAATTCAAATAAATGGAAGTATGCCCACTGACATTGATGGTCTTTGAATCCAGGCTCCATCCTCTTTCCAAAATATGTCAAAATATACCAAAAAATGTCTGCCCAGTCAAGCACAGGTAGGAAATGTGAGGCAAAAAGACATTGTCAGAATGTCTGTCAAATTACAGGAATTAGGGATATAGTCCAAACAATCACAAATTAATATTATTTCATTTAATTGTGTCAAAATACTAAATTAATATACAACATGTCTCAAATTTGTCCATGCTTGTATGGAACTGAAAAGAATTTAAGAGAGGTGATCATTTTGTGAAAATAATTTTAAGAAAGCATAGCCTCAAAACAAACAGCTTGTACAGTTTCCAGTAGCTTACAGAAATATTTATTCTGTGAATAAATTCTAGTCCACTGTTGCCTACAAAGAGAAGTATTGTGTATTTGAAATCTTTGTCATTACTGTGTCCATTGTAAACTGCTATTTAGACAGAACTAAAGCTACTGAAAGTGGTCTCCTAAAACTCATAGAGGAAGCTGACATGCTGTTCAGCTGGAAACAGCCTTCCTGAAGGAGAATTGATGTGAATCCTTTTGTAAAGGAGATCTGTGCTCTGAGCACTCAAAATACATCATAGAATACTAATCACACTACTTCCCAGAGCAAAAGAAAAATAAAAAAGGTTAGAGTGCATCACTGAATGGAGAGTGGTACATCTCTTTGGAGACATTTTGGGGGACGGGGGTGGAAAGGATGCCTGTCTGCATCCTTATCTATATGGACTTAAAGAGGAACCCTGAAACTGTATAGTATAAATTTTTAATTTGTATTTTATGTTCCCCCATATGAGAAAGAGAGGACAGATCTCAGCCTGGGTAAATTCACACAGCTCTAGTGGAGTGAGGCAGGCATGGCAGCAATACAATTTTCTTACCCTAATGTACTGGTGGAACTTGGAGCAGTGCAGGAAGAAAAGACACAGACGAAACATTACTGAAAAGAAAGGTGGAACTGCTTTGTTCTGTTGTTTTTGTTCTTTTTTTTTCCTGGAATCTGAGTTTCTTCCCTCAAGATAAAATAATGGGACTGCACATCTCTGACAGCAGATCAAACAGAAATCAGGCACCTCTTCAACCACATGGTGCAGAACTTGTGCTGCATGAGGTGCAGAGTCACAAATGGGTCCAAAAAGCGCTGTTTGGCACATCTCATTAAAATGTTTTACCTTTGTCTTATGAAAGGGTAGTAAACTTTAGTATTGGGAGAATTTAAAACAATTTTTTTCTCCCTAACAAAAGGGAGAGGTTGCCTAATGGTCCCAGTGCTTTGAATCACAATACTTGCTACACTTGTCTGTATTAAAGTGCTGTAGTAGTAAAAATTGACTCTTTGATGCTGTCATTCTTTCACTGTAAAATGAGCAGCTCATAGGAGGAAATATATTGGCTCTGAATGTGGCCAGAAAAAAGAGTTTTCTTCCAACAGTTTTTTCTTGGGTAGGACTTTTTGTACTGTGCTTGACGTTCTGAATTACATGATTACATAGTATAAGACTCCAGCAACATTTTGTATTGTAAAGATGGAGAGGCTCAGCATTTTGCCAGATGCCAAGTGATATTCTGATATTTCTATCTTCACTTTAAACTGAGTGACAGTCAGCATATTCACAATGAAGACAAGACAATCTGCTATCAAGTTACAGTAGTGATATTTTCCCTGATGAAGATCCCAGAGCTTGTCGGAATAAAGCTCCTTAAAACTCAGTGTCTGGAATAGCTCCAGCTTGAATTGCTCTCTGTGTAATATAATTTTATATTTGTGCCAGTCTAATAAGTAGATCACTGGGTAGAGGCTTTTGTAAGTAAGTCTATACGTACTGCACCATTTCCTGGCTCTGTGCTCCAGTGTGTTGCAGGCTGTGTGCAGTGGGGGAGGTGCCAGAGCTGATCAAGCAGTGTAATTTTATACATTACTGAATCAGTGCAGGAGAAACCTGGAGGGACAAAGCATCATCTTCTCTTTGGACTGCACTGTAAAATCCTACAGCTCTCTTAGCCCAGCCATGCTCTGATACATTTTTTCTCTCCTTTTTCTGATTTTGGTGTGAATGATAAAGTGATCGGATGATGGCTCTCGTTATGGAACCTATTAGCAAGTGGACGCCCAAGCAAGTAGTGGATTGGATGAAAGGTATGATCATTTATTACCATGTATTGTCTGTACTTTGGATCCTTGCAATTTACATACTGCTCTTGCATTCTTTGTTTTGGGAAGAGTTTATTCAGTTTTAATAATCCATATGCTGCTTTGCACAGTAGTTTTTAAAGACACGACTGAGGAGAGAGGCTGTTCAAGCTGTGCAGCATGTTGTTGGAATTTCTGCTGAGAACTGAGTAGGGATCATATGCATTTGTTGGTAAATGCAGACGTAAAGTGTTTGTGTCTCATGGCTCCATTATGCATTGCACAGTGTAACGTTATGATGTTTGGTTGCTTTAAATTCACCCTGATTAGGACTGTTTTGCTCATATCAGGTGATCTGATGCAGTGGCTGTGCAGCACTTGTGTGTAGTTTAGGGTACCACAAGGAGCATAAGGTGCCGGTGGCTGGACTGAGGAATTCTGCTCCTTCAGTGTCGCGTCCTGATTTGTTCAGGCTCCCCAGCTGCTCTGGCTCGTGCCGCTGCTGTGTCCGACGCGCCCGCGGCCCCAGCCGTCGCTGGTACCGTGGACAGTGCAGCCCGTGCCGCGCGTGGGGTGCGAGGGGGAGTGCGCAGGGCTGAGCATGGCTTCGCTGGGGAAACTCTTCCCGAGAACTTGACAGGAATGATGATTTCCCTGCACATTCGCAGTTTCACAACACAGCCATAAGCTGTGACATGTTTTGCCTTATAATGCTTGGCTGTGCTGCAAACAGACTGGGTTGGATGGGAGGGTGAAGAATTGTTCATGATGACAAGTGCTTTAAATTTCTCCTGAGTGGGGAAAAATGAATTTCCACAGTAGGATGCATTACTGTTGTGAGACATTGCTTCTGATGAGCTCTCTCTGTCTTAGGGACAAATAATTTCTGCTACAAGGGATCTCCATTATATAAGGAGAAGAGGTGCAAATTTTGCTTGCACTTTACTCATGGAAATAATTTCTGAAATGTGATTACCAAACTTATTGGAGGGCTGAATTGGATTCCCACTATAATATCCTTAAAGGTTTCAAAGTATTATCATTAATAAGGGAATGGTTTTGATTTCATTTTGCTGAGATATGTCTTCATACTTAACTGAAATTGGGTGTTTAGGGGCTCATCAGACACATTACAGTTATGAGCCAACTATTCTTTTACAAGCACACAGTATTATGAAGCTAATGGTATCTAAGGGAACATACGTAGTTTGTTTCTCAGGTGTTTGTGAACTCAGGTGAATTGGGAGCTCTTAAGCAGGTCATTGGGATGAATCCTGAAACCATTAGATAGAGGACTGATTCCCATACTCCAGTCTCATTACTTGGAATCAATTCTTAATGTACGTGCAGAGGAGGGTTTTCTGATCCACACCTTTATTTTCAGTATGTAAAAGATTTAAAAAATGGACTGATCGTGATGCTATTTTAACTCATCACTTGAATTATAATGTAGACTAAATGTCAGTGTATATAGTACTTGTTGATAAATTTAAAAATCTTACTAAATTTTTATCCTTTTTGATGAAAGCTAATTACATCTTGGATGACACTAATCTATAACGTGTGTAGTGCATACCATGGGAAGCAAGAAAGTCATAAAAACAGCAGGTTTTTTAAATGTATGGAGTTGCCTTACAGTTAAATTTCTACAGAGACTGCATGCTGCATCTGTAGGGACCTCTGGAGTAGACAGAACTGTCAGTTGTGTGCCTCTGGGCTTAAGCTTAAATAAGTATAATGCAATGAACACTGAGGTCTTCACAAGATAGGTATTTTCCTTGGTAACATGAGTGCTACAGATCCACAAACAGTCAAATTGTACGTTTGTCCATTTTTACCATGCTAATATTACAAGCCCCTTTTTCATCCCAGTATTTACCTGGATAAATGCATACTTCAATTGTAGCCAAAGAAGAGACCTAACATACACAAATGGAAACATACTAGAATTAGTTTAAAACTACTTGTAAATCCCTTACTTTTCAAAAACTGCCCAATTGTGGCCACTGTTTGCCTGTATTTTACATATACTCTGTATGTCATCTCCATTAGCTATAGTCATTCTGCTAAGTAGCTCTTAATACATTAGAGAGATAGAAGATCTGCATGGGTAGTAATATTCAAGTGATAAGGTAGCTTTTACGTATGTCTTTTATACTGACAGCTACACTTTGACAGCATTAAAAGATATATTAAAGACATTTTAGAAAAATTACCATGGTATGGATGTGGAATATTTTCTTTGCTATAGAAAGCAACATGTTAATAAACAATGTAACAAATATTGCAAGTGTATCATACCTTTTTTTTTTTTGCCTAAAAATATGGAGTCAGTTACCTTTATTTGTAAAGATTGTAAATTATAACATATTTCATAGGGAAACTATAGTAATATCTTTTAAATTTGAATTTATCATAATTATTTAAGATACCATGACTTATTTTTAAAAACTTAGCAAAGTACATGTTTTGAAATTAACTAGCAGTGAGTACCATCAAGATCAAATAATTGAAGATGGAAAAAAGTGACAAAAATTATGTTAATAGTTCAAGACCTGGCTACCCAGAATGCATCCTGATTACAGTGTGCCATTATCAGAAGCAACTGTAGCATAAGCCCCAACCAAGAGGAGACACCCTTCTGTTCTTTTCCTTAAGGAAATGTTACTTGCCACAGAAGTAGAAATTGGTAGGCTTTAAGGAACATCATTATGACAAGTTGGCATCTTGTATTTATCCACAGTTCCTTTCTTGGGAACGCATTCAACTGGAATTCAAACTAAGAACTGCATCTGATGGTGTGGACAACCTGAAAAGGCCATGCAAGTCTTTAGAAATTGATTCTTTCGGCTTATAGAGGATCTAGAAGTTAAGGCTCTAGATACCTTTGTGTCAAAGAAATTGGTTTTATGCAAAAATATTTTGTAAAGTTTAGCAAATACACAGCAGAAGGCATTGTGGTTAAAAAGAAAGTTTTTGAAGGAGCAGAAAACATTAATTGTGAAGATATTTTTAACAACAGTTTTCAGTCACTATTCTTTCCAAATTCTCGAAAATTTTAAATTTCTCAAAATGGTTTTCAATTCAGAAAATGAGCCATTGTTTTTTCTGGCATGTATCCATTTCTTACATAATTTAAATGTTTCCCTGTGGGTATGTACTATGGACCCAAATGGTACTTTAAGTGAAAGAACTTTGCCATGCTCAAATTCCATTTTGGCACTGTTGGGAAAACAAATATTACCCATAAAGCTTGCAAATACATTAAGAATCAGAGTAGATTTTTAACTTGGTCAGTTTTTCCTTTGATTAAGTTTAACATATTAATGTGAGTAAATGACAAACTACACTTCAATATTTGTAATGTTTCTACCTGGAGACTGTGATTGCTTTTTTGCCTATGAACTTACTGTGAAACTAGGTGGCACTTTGCAGTTGCAAACAGGTTATCAGAGTGAGCACTCCTAGACCAAATGCCTTCTATTTTAATATGTATGCATGCACTATGGAATGTAATCCTGTACAGAATTTGGGATTTTGAGATGCAGAGGGGAGGTATGCTGTCTTACTGCTGACTCTTATTAGCACTTAGAATTAATAAAAGCTTGATAGTTTGTAAGTTTGTCATTGTAAGTAGAATCTAAAAGATATTCTCTGTACTTTTACAAATAACATCATTTAAGATTTTGTACTTTCTAAGTGAAGCAGTTTACAAGTAGGTCATTTAAAATGTGATCTCATATACAGTGAAGTGACACCTCTGTCCAAATAAATACTAACTTTTCAAAACAATCCAATGAAATGAAATGAAATACAATTCTGTGAAATACTGCTGTGACTTTCAGAGAATGGAATGTTATTAAACAGCTGAAAATTAAAATAGGAAACTGGTTATTTCTTAAGTACCTGTAAGTAATAACTCCACATGGAGTTAGTTATTCAGAGTCTTGGGGACTGACAGTAAGGTTTGTCTTCCAAAACAGTCTGCAGTGGAGGTTTCTCTCATAATGAATGCTCAGCTTTAGATACTCATTTAACAACTGTAAGCCATTTTTCCCCCTTTAAATCTAGAATTTCTTCACTCTCAACAGGAGATGCAGACGTGAAAAAAAAAAAAAAATAATTCAGTTGGTAAACTGATTAACTGTTCTGCACTGATCCTGTGCGGAATAATTATATGTTTAGCTGAAGGGTTTTCCTTAGCATGTAATTCCCTGATTTCAAGCTGGCTCATAAAAGAGAAAGAAAGGGAGGGGGGAGCTGAGAGCAGGGAAGCTGATGACGTGAGTGGACTTGTTAGCATTCACATCACGCAGGGCTCCGGCAAACCCCTTCTCAGACATCTTTTGCTTTTCATTAGATCACTACCTGTTCAGTAGTAATATGTCATAACCAGGGAGCCTCCTCTATTTACAGAATGTAATATATAAAGTCTTAGAGCATACTGGAGACGCAGCTAAATATTATGATCTACTGCAAAAGCAGCCTTATAGGTACTGAGCTGGATGATATTTAGCTTTCTTGATCCCCATTTATGACCTTAGAATCCCATAATGCAAGAACTTGACTTCACAGGATACAATTTGAAACTTGAGTAGATAATCCACGTCATATCTTATTTAGACAAATGTAGGGTTTATAACATCTTTTTAGTTCTTTCTGAAGACAAATAGGTTTGGAAGAGAGCTGAGAGTCACAGAGACACCCTCAGAATTAGCACTGAGTTTTCAAGCAGTTCTAAAGCAAGGGTTTCATCATTTTCCTTCTACTCTCACCAGTTTAAAAACTGAAACAATTGACTGTTGTGGCTCCCCCATGGATTACTGTGTTCCACTAGTACCACCTTTCCAGTTGTCACTATAAAGTCACTGAATCAGAATTGTCCTCTCCAATTCCTCTTAAAAGTTTCAGACTGTAATACTTTTTAGTAATAAATTTTGGCAACAACTATTCTGTTGAATGTTGTAAACTATTTGATTTAAAAGGGTCAGCAGAGCGCGCCTCAA